TCATTACGCAAATGATCAACCGATTCAACCTGAAAATTGTTATTACTACTACTACCTTCATTCCTACAACTAGCATCGTCTTCTCCATGTTGATACCAAATATAATAATATGGCATGGAACCTCTATGTATTAAATGCTTCCAAACATTTTCACGATGACCTAATTTTGTATTGCAACATTTCCGACAAGGACAGAACATCTTACCACTTTCCTGCGTGAGTGGTGTAGAATCTGCTTGATGCATAAACGTCTCCAACCCTTCGAGATATTCATTCGTCACCCTCCCGTTATTATCTCTGTGTGAATACATCCACTTCCGCAACTCGAAAATATTTCCCAGTACAATTGCTAGGAAATGTTTCCCAGTACAACTGACCGGACAATTTTCTTGTGTTTGATCAAGCTTATAGCTGATTATTTTGTGGTGTGTTTCAAATGAGCATTTACTAGGAAATTGCTAGGAAATGTAGGTACAAAACACGTTTTTGATTTAAATTCCATATTTCCTATTCAGTTCCTCCTAATTTCGTAGTAACAAATCTGTTCCTCTTAATTTCGTAGTAACACTTTACTAGGACTTTACGAGGAAACAAAATTACTACGGGCTTACGAGGAAATGTACTATTTCCACGTAATTTCCTCGTAACGTTACTACGGTGTTACGAGGAAATGATTTTCTCGTACCTGTACGAGGACCTTACGAGGAAAAATGGTTTCCTCGTAATTTTGAAGTAATTTCGTAGTAACTTTACAAGGAATTATTTTCCTAGTAAAATTTCGTGGTAACTTCTTAGTTTTCTTGTAGTGCTCCAAGGATCATAAATGAAGTCGATAAAGATAAGGGATTAACTTTTGATTACAGTTTGAAGGAGAGAGAGGTTCAAATGTATGGCCATCAAGGGGATAGAGTACAGAACCAAATGTTGGTTGCTTCAAAAACATCAATGGTCTTTGCCCCTGAGGTGGTAGAGCGGAAAATAGGTCTTCTCTTCTTGGTGCCTTTGACTGTTCAACGGGTTTTAGCTCTGGTTATGCAGAGGCTAGCTCTTCCGGGACGTCAAGGCCAAAAGGAGGTAGAAGATACCGACCTCCCAAAAGAATGAGAAGATTCAAACCAAGGGTTTTGAATGCGGATGGTACTGGATAAAATGAAAAAGACAAAGGTGAAGATGAAGCGAGAGGCTCGATGAAAAGGATAGCTGTGGCAGTGGCAGGTGGTTTCACGAAACTTGCGAGAGGGTCAAATCCAGAGGTAGTCCCGAGTGAGGGACTGCCCAATCAATAATGTGGATATTCAGTTGGAATTGTCGAGGCTTGGGACGGTCTCAGGACTCGACAATTCCTTGTCTCAAGGAGATACGTAAAATATATTTCCCTAAGATAATGTTCTTGATGGAAACAAAGCAAAAAAAAGATATGGTGTTAGATTTGAAAGTGAGTTTGGGTTACGATAGAGTTATGGTGGTGGATCCTATTGGTTTGTCGGGAGGTCTGGCTGTAATGTGGAAGCAGGAGGTGGCTGTGGTGGTAAATTTTGCAGATAAAAATGTTATTGATTGTCGGATCTCATATAGAGGTCATAGCTTCTATATCTCTTTCATCTATGGAGAGCCTAGTCAGAAAGGAAAAAGAAAAGTCTGGGAGAGATTAATGAGGCTTGGTTCTGGAAGGAAAGAAAGCTGGGGAATGGTGGGTGATTTCAATGAAATATTACATAATGGAGAGAACATAGGTGGTGTGAACAGAAGCGCGGCATCCTTTGATGAGTTTACTGATATGCTTAATGTGTGTGAGATGAAAGAAATCGCAGGCTCAGGTGATAGCTTTACATGGGCTGGGGTGAGATATAAAAAGTACATCCAGTGTAAATTGGATCGATGATTTGGAAATAAGCAGTGGCGAAGTGTTTTCTTCCGAGCAACGTAAACTTTTATGGAGAGGCTTGGGTCTGATCATAGACCGGTGATGGTTAATTTGCACAATGAAAACGAGCGCAAAAGAGGTGATTTTTGTTTTGACAAAAGAATGGTTGGAAAAAACAGAGTGGTGGAAACCATTGATGAGGCATGGAAAAGGGCCAGAAGTGAGAAAAACTTATCGATAGTGGAAAGCTTGGGGGAAGTAAGAAGGTCTTTGGGGAGGTGGAAAAGACATAATAACTTAAACTCTAATGAGAGCCTTGTGAAGTTGGTGCACGAGATGGTGCATGCTCTGAGAACTCATGCACGAGATGGTGCATGCTCTGCATTTGTACCTGAAAGATTAATAACTGATAATATCATCATCGCACACGAGATGGTGCATGCTCTGAGAACTCATGAAAGGATATCAAACGATCACATGGCAATTAAGACGGATATGTCCAAAGCATATGACCGGATTGAATGGAATTACTTGGAGGGATTGATGTCTGCTCTAGGTTTCCACACAAAGTTTAGGGAATGGATCATGTTCTGTGTAAGATATGTTTCCTATACCGTTCTCATCAATGGAGAGGCTCAGGGGAAGGTAATGCCAGAAAGAGGACTCAGACAGGGCGATCCTCTATCCCCATTTTTGTTTGACCTGTGTACAGAGGGCTCTCACATCAGCTAAATGAGGCTGAAAGGAGAGGAGAGATCACATGCATACGTTTTGCTGAGAGTGGGCCTGCGGGTCATCATATCTTTTTTGCTGATGACTCGCTCCTGTTAATAAAAGCGACGGAGGAAGAATGTAGTACAGTGTGCAAAATTCTAAGAGATTATGAAGTTGTCTCAGGTGAAATGATCAACTTCAAAAAGTCGGCTATCACTTTGGGCAACAAGGTTGCAAATGATATGAAGGCTAAGATCAAGGACCTAACTGGAATCATCAATGAAGGAGGGACTGGAAAGTATTTGGGTTTGCCTGAATGTTTTAGTGGTTCTAAGGTGGAGATGCTTCAGTATATCCAAGAGAAGATGACCATAAGGTTTCAGAATTGGTATGCTGTCTTTCTATCGATGGGAGGGAAAGAAGTTTTACTGAAATCAGTGGCTATGGCGCCAGTTTTCGCGATGTCTGTGTTTAAATTGCCCAAGACTACTTGTCAAAACCTAACTAGTGCAATGGAAAACTTTTGGTGGAATGCACAGGAAGGTAAAAACAAGATTCATTGGGTCTCTTGGGAGAGAATGTGCCTGGATAAGAAAATGGGGGCTTGGGTTTCAAGGATTTAGAAAAGTTTAATAAGGCTCTGCTAGCAAAGCAAGGATGGCGTTTGCTTATGAATCCTGACTCTTTATGCGCCAGAGTAGTGAGAAGGAGGTACTATCCTAATGGTGATTTTCTAAGTGCTAATCTTGGCTCTAGACCTTCATTTGCCTGGAGAAGCATTCTCTTTGGTGGGGAGTTACTAGAAAAAGGCTTACGAAGAAATGTTGGCTCAGGAGAAAGTATTAAGGTCTGGACGGATAAATGGCTCTTTGGCAATGTACCAATAGCACCTATGAGGAAATAGATCATTTTCAATCTAGAATTAAGAGTATCCGACCTCATTAATCCTCAGACTAAGACATGGGACCGAGATAGGCTGGAAGAATGTTTTTTTCAGAGTGACATTGAGCTCATTATGAAGAGGAAGCCAGCGTATGGCAAGGAGGACTCTTATGAATGGGTGCACAATAGATGGGACGCATACTCAGTGAAGTCCGGCTACTGGCTGGCTTGTTCTAGAGATACCTCTGAGGCCAGAGTTGCAGCAATGTCAAAGCCTTCTCTTAATGACCTAAGATGTAAAGTGTGGGAGATAAAGACGGCTCCGAAGATTAAAATTTTCCTATGGAAGGCTCTAACAAACGCCCTAGCGGTGTCGGACGAGTTATTGGCTAGAGGGATGAAGGTGGATCCACGCTGCCCAAGATGTGGCGAGGAGGGAGAGTCATTAATCATGTTCTGTTCTCGTGTCCAGTGGCGAGGTTGGTATGGGCAACGTTCGGCTTTCCTTTTCCACCCAGAGGTTTTGAACATAGATCCCTTTTTGAGAATTTCAGTTACCTACTTGATGTTGGGAAGGACGTACAAGTGCCGATGGAACTGAGACTCAGCTACCCGTGGATATTGTGGTTGCTCTGGAAGAATAAAAACACTTTTGTTTTTGAAGGCAAGGAGTATGAAGCAGAGGCCACCGTTGCTAAAGGCTTTGAGGATTCTAGACGATGGTTTGAGGTGGTAGAAGAGTCAAAGTCAAATGGGAATAGAAGAATGAGTAAACATAGAGAAGGGAAGAGCTGAAAGGTTCCGGAGAAGGAGAGAGTAAAGTGCAATGTAGGTATTTTGTGGTCCAAAAATACCGGTTTGGCTGGCACGAGCTGGTTGCTGAGAAATAGTGAAGGAGCTACTCTACTACATAGTAGGAGAGCTTTTAATGGAGTTGAGTCACTGTTGGAGGTAAGAAGATTAGGTTTGATATGGGCAGCAGAGAGCATGATTTCTCATCGAATGCAGAAGATTACTTTTGAGATTAAAGCTTCAGAGTTGGTTGGAGTCGTTAATCGACCAAAGGCTTGGCCTGCTTTTAGGGCATATGGAGATGAGCTACAAAAGGTTTTAACTAAAATATCAGAGTGGAAGGTGCGTCTGATAGGTAGACCAGCTAACAGCAGTGCTTTTATGATTGCTAGGAGTGTGACAAAGGAGAAAAGAATCCAATCTTATGTGGCTCAGGGCAGCCCCTGTTGGCTTAGAGGTTTGCTTGCGGAGAAATTATTAAAGAACCGATAATAAGAGGGTTGTTTTCTTGTTCTTTGTCGAAGAGAAGAGTTTTCTTTTTTTTCTGTGCTTTAGGCATTACGTCTCTGTTTCTCTCTGCTTCTGTTTTTTTTGGGTGCTGTGGTTTGATACATCTTTTAGTTTCAATTCTTATTACTTTGAGTTAAAAAAAAAAACACAAGTAAATCATTAATAAATATAATTTGGATGTGATACAGAGATTTGATAAATAACAAGCCAAAAGCTAATCATATGATTTTTTGAAAAGCTAATCAGCTAATCCATATCCCTTCAGACCAACATACTTTGCCGGATTATTCGTCATCAGCTTCATCGTCCTCACTCCCAAATCCATCAGTATCTACACAATCAACACTAATGAGTGCAACTCCGAGGAACAAAAAAAAGTATTTTTGATCTTTATTTGATGATATATACCTGTGCACCAATCACATACTCTCTAGAATCAACAGGAAGTCCCAACTCCTCATTAACTTCAACCGTGTTATGACCTAAGCCAATCCCTCTTCCTTCATGTCCGCGCAAGTAAACCAACACACCACGACCAGTAGACTCGATCTGCTGCACCGAAAGAGATAGTTGGTTCCCGCAATCACACCCTGCTGATCCAAATATGTCTCCAGTGAGACATTCTGAATGAACCCTCACAAGCATGTCTTGACCATCCTCACCTATCTCTCCCTGTCCACAGTTCCACACAAATTAATGTTTGTGTTTTTTAGCTAAAAGGCCTAGGGATGCTGTTCTGAAGTGGAAAATCTAACCTTGTGCTCTATTCCATCTAATATAGACTTGTAGCAATAAGCTGTGAAAGGTCCCGACATTGTTGGGATCCAAGCTGCAGAAGAACGTTCCACTAGCTCATCTCTCTTCCTTTGATATCTACCCTCACCACCAGAACAAAACTTTTAGCTTCTCTTTTTTAGTTTCTAGAGGTACAGAGAGAGAGAGGACTAACCTGATCAAATCTGCAATTGATAAAATCTTCAGACTGTTCTCAGCTGCAAGCTAACAGAGCTTTGGTAGTCTAGCCATGGAGCCATCATCATCAACAATCTCACACAAATACTCCAACAGGATCTAGTCCAGCTAAAACACTGAGATAGACATAAGCTTCAGTGTGTCCAACTCTTTTCAAAACCCCTCCTTCTCGGCACTTGAGCGGGAAGATATGCCAAGGGCGGTTGAAATCTTCAGGCTTTGAGTCTCTTAGTCCTAACCAGGGGTGAGTTATCAACTGAATCACTGAGAGCAGTCTCACGAGCACATCTCTCCTCCTCTTCAGAGACACGGTGGAGTCAGTCTTGATCGGCGGATTCGGAGAGCTTCATCTCGGCCCAGTCAAAACGGCTCATCTCAGGCAGAGGAGAATCGCGATAGGTTGGCGTTGGAGACAGTGGTGCTTGAGCTTCGTCACCGTCTTCATCTCTGTTTGTCGACGAAGCTTTCATCATGGCCAGAGAGATAAACAGAGAGAGGGTTGAATCGAGCCAGTTTGAATCGTGAGTGGTTGATTCGAGCCGATCTCTGTGTGTAGATCAGATGATTTTTGTGATCTTAGGTTTAGCCACAAGATCAAAAATAATCGGTGACCACAAAGTGAGAGGATTAACCAAAATTGACTTATAACCTTTGGATTAAAACCAATCAATAGTTGAAAAATTAATCAATCAAAAACTACTTTTTATTATATAGTTTTTTAAAAAATATATAATTTTATTGTTTAACTAATTTTATTTATATAAAAACTAAATTATATTCTAATTACTGATTATATTTATTTGAATTTAAAGTCAGAGTTTAAAAATATGAGTTTAGAATATATGTGATATGATTTGTGTTATGATATACATTTAGAGTCTATGGTTAGGGTATTAGATTTAGAATTTTGAACTAAATATTTTTAAAATGATTAATTTTTGTTAAGATTTATAGTTAAATTTTAGGGTATGATATATATATATAAGTATGCATAGACAATAAAATTTATAGTTAGAGCATATGGTATATGATTATTTTAAAAATTAATAAAAAGATTTGAATTTCAATATTTTTAGTTCTAGTTTAGGGTGTATGATTAATTTAAGATTAGTTTCCAAGTTTGGAGTTTAGAATAAATGTTTAAGTAAAGGGTTTGGGATTTGATGTTAAAATATTAGAGCTTATAGTTTGGGATTTGATGTTAAAATATTAGAGCTATAGGGGGTTGTGTTTAAAATTTTGGTTTTATAGTTAAGAATTTTGGAGGCAAATAAAATGGAGTGAGAGGGAAAATGAACGATGGTGAGAGGGAAAATGAACGATTTTTCCGCTTTGGTAAGAAAGAAAGTGAAACAAGTATGAAAAGAAAAAAGTGTTTGCAGAATTAAAAACGGACCAATGAAACATAGCGTTTCATTTTCAAAACCGCTATCTAAAAACAAAAGGTATGTAAACCATAGCACAATTAGAAAAAGCGCTATCATATTCTGCTATTAATACCCAGGTTTCCTGTAGGGTGTTGCTGGAGAAATATTCCATATGTGATGATGAAGGGGTGAGAGAAATGGCCAGAGACATGCGGGTTAAGTTTGATAAATACTAGAAGGATTATAGTGTAATCTTGGCAATAGGAGCAGTTCTAGATCCAAGAATAAAAACTAAGATGGTTGAAGTTGCTTACAACGCATTGGATCCTTCTACTGCAAGCTTGAAGACTGAAAAACTCAAGGAGAGTTTGAGTGACCTTTATAAAGACTATCAAAAACTATCTCAAGCAAGTTCTTCAGGGGTTTCACTCACACCAACTCCACATGAGATTGTCACAGAATCTCTGCTTGAAGATGATTATGATAATGTAAGTAACTTAATATAATTTTAGATAATCTCAATCATTCATTGTCTTGAAACTGATAATTTAATATAAATGTTCACATGATTTTTTGAGTTGGAAAAGAACATTGGAGGTGGAGCTAGCGACCCAAAGACACATTTGGATATCTACTTGGAAGAGCCCAGGCTAAACAAAAAGACTAACACAAAATTGGATGTCTTAAGTTATTGGAAAGAGAACCAACATTGGTTCGGAGATTTAGGATCCATGGCACGTGACATCCTCAGCATTCCGATCACAACAGTAGCTGCTGAGTCTGTCTTTAGCATTGGATCCCTGGTTTTAACTCCTTACCGAAACCGCCTTTTCCCTAAAAATGTCCAAGTTCTTCTCTGCATTAGAAATTGGTTGCGCGGTTTTGCTGAATACCAAGGTAAAAAAGCTTTATAATATCATTTATGACTATTTTTTATAACTAATTCATATTATATTTTGTAGGTAGAATTGAAAAACTCTTTGATGAAAATGAAGATGTTCAAAACAAAACAAGTAGTTCAGGAGTGGAATCTTCTTCAGCATCAAAAGCTTGAAGTGTGAGCGGTTTCTTATACTCATTTAACTCATTGTTGAACTTTTTTTTAATTTGTATGATTACTAACTAGGCTAATAATTTGTGATTATGGACAGGTACGTTGTAGAAGATTAAAGCTACTCTTCATTGTGTTGCACCTAATTTGAGATGGGATGGTGTGTGTGGATTGAGTCAAGAAAGATTGAGTTGCAAACTTTAAATTTTTTGTTGAAATGTGATTTGTAAACTTTACATTTTTAGCTTAAACAAAACAGTGTAATGTTTAGTTTTATGACTTATGATTATGGAGTTGTATTTAATTTGACAGGTTTGATCGAAGAAACAGGTTATTAACTTATGATACAAACACATCATGTTCAATTTTTTTAAAAAATAATCGGGCTCAAAACAGACTTATAACGGGTTTAATGTTAAACGGGCTTTATATAAATGGGTCATAAACGGGCTTGATTTAAACAGGCTCTAAACGGACATCAGATAAACGTGTTTGCCCGGCCCGTTTAACACCCCTAATAAGAACCATTTTCCATTCTAAAAAATCTAAAGCATAAGCTTTCAACTATGTTGCTCTTAGTATGTACTCTTAGGATAACTATAACCATTTGGTATAATCAGTTGACCACGTGTCAATTCATAGTCTAGACTTTCCATTCTTAGGATTTCTCTTTCTTGTTATTAAAGTAAAGAAGAAAAATCCTAGTGTTTTTTTTTTCTTAAAAGAAAATCAAAATGATATTCTATTACTTAAATTTAGAGTAGTATAAAAATTCAGACGAGTATAAAACAACCAACAAAAGATAATCTACGATAGAAATTACAAGTAAACCTAGCTAAATCAAAAGATAATCTACGATAGAAATTACAAGTAAACCTAGCTAAATCATCTGTTGTTCGATTTTTTGATCTTGGTATGCAAGAGATCTTGAAATCTGAAAATCTTTCTCTCAGTCACGCAAATTCCCTAACTCTGTAAAGAAACTCGGTCAATCTTTCGGAATCTAGATTATAGCCATTACATTCATGCCTAAAGTGATGGCAATCAGTGTTATAAATCAGATCAAAGAAGAAAAAATCTTAATTACAAACATTCCATTCTGAAAATTTTATATGTTCTTCAATTCATTTCAAATAACAAAACACAGCCATAGTTTAAGTAACTAATATATAATTATTAAGAAGGTGCTTAATGGCTTACAAAATATATATTTTTGTTCTGCACCATATGGATTTTTTCTTACATCCTTACTAAAAGAATTATTCCTACACACAATTGTCAAGTTTTACTTGGACTTCTTTCTAGACGAGCTGAACCACGGCTGCAACTCTCAGAGCACCATTTTGGAGAAGCTCAGAGAGCTCATCGAAGGGAAGTGCAGTACGCCACCCCCAACCTTTGGGAGCTTTGGGTAACAATGTTCCTCTCTGCTTGAAATCTCCAAACAGCATCACTTCTCTTTTGGACGGGCAGACCAGCTGCAAGAATATATGTGTTGTTGTTGTTATAGAAATCAATCATCCTTGAGTCGATATAAACGCATGAAATATATGTTTGACATTAAAACAATGAATTAGATGCATCAAACTAACAATTAGGAGTTTGTCCGCACATGGACACAAGGAGAACTTGACAATAGATCATATAAACATACCTGGTAACGTGCAGTCACTTTATCACGAGGATCTATGTAGACGTGAACCTGAATGAGGATAGAAGAGGTTGTAATTTCGGAAGATATGATTAATTGAACTAGCTAATAAACTGGACGATTTCGTTAGGATTTCTTTAGGATGAAGAAAACGAAAACTGACCTTCCTTAGTGAGTCTATTATCTCTGCTTTACGACGGTGAAGAAACAACCCTGTAGAAATAGATAATCAAGTTAAGTGTTATAACATACACCAAACTAATGTGAGGTGATCTTGTGTTGAGTTTAGTCAAGTTACCAATAGTTCGGCGTCCTTGAGGGTCTTCATCATTAAACGCCTGGATACTAATCTGGATATGGAATGTACAAAGAATCTCATCAAACCCAAATATTTCATCACTGAATGTTTACCAAGAGAAAGCTTGCTGAATGAGATATGAGTTTGTTATACCTTCCACAGAGAACCAGCATAGAAGAATTCAGGAGAATGCTCTACATGACCATTAGCTAGTCTATGGACATCCTCAAATTCAACGCTGCAGACAACAAAAAAGACACAGCTGAGAGCAACCATATACCAACCAGGACAAGCAAGAAGTCACAGTTAAGCTAGAACAGAGCAAGAGAGTTGGAGTTACAAGTAAAACAAATAGAAAAACTTACCCAAAACGAAAAGGAGGGAAGTGACACAAAGGTGTCCTTGTATCAAGTGATATAGTACAACTCGTGTTCTCCCGCTCAATCCCTACTGAATGTTCCCTTGGTTCTGACGCTCCACTGCTGTGCCCTCCCTCATTTTGATCTCCACGAGTATAATTACCAACACCGCTTGTCCCTTGGCTCAGCCCAACTAGAGCTGTCAATCCATCTTTTAAAACTTCTTCACTTTGACCAATTCTACCTTCAGAACCATCACTGGCTAGAGGTGGCTGGCCATTTCTGTTAATGGGGACACGAGAGTACACAAAAGGTGTAGGAGGCCAAGCAGGTGGTGGTACAAATGTGGCTTCACATCCAATGCCGGCAAGTCCATCAATGTGCTGTCCTCTAACACTGATCCTGACAGGCTTAAAGATGCCATTTTCTTCAGCTTGTGAAGACTCCGTCACATACATGGTTTCAATGCCTCCCATCATATTATTCTGAACATTGTCTTGGCAATAATAATTGTTGAAGGGTGCACCATGCGAAAGCCCAAATCCCTGTTTGCACGCGCATGCAATATTGATGAGGCAGCACTTTTTGCATGTGTTGGCAGCAACTTCCTGCACCCTCTGACTGAGAAGCATCTGGATAGTAGTAAACAGAATGACATTATTATGCAAGAAATCATATAACCTCTAGAATAGAACTGCTCATGATAAATGCCTCCAGTTTTACTCAAAGATACCCTAATCTTCATTAAGTGTAAATGCATTAAAGCATGAGCTTACTCCACCATTCCTACATTTCTATGACTGGCTAAATGAGAACTCAAGCAAAATTAAGGAAAAATAACCTGCAACCATAGACCATCGTTCACAGCTTTACAAGGAAATTATTATGCAAGAAATCATATAAACACTAGAATAGAACTGCTCATGATAAATGCCTCCAGTTTTACTCAAAAATACCCTAATCTTCATTAAGTGTAAATGCATTAAACATGAGCTTACTCTACCATTCCTACATTTCTATGATTGGCTAAATGAGAACGCAAGCAAAATTAAGGAAAAATAACCTGCAACCATAGACCATCGTTCACAGCTTTACAAGGAAAACCCAACTCTTCAAGTTGTTTTCTTGCGTTCAGAAGTACTTCAAAAGACATATTGCAATACAGAAGTGAACCACCTTCAAAAGTATTCACAAATGCATTGTATTCTTCCTCAGTTAATCCCCATTTTCCTTTAAGACAGCCTGTGACCTGCTTTGTCCCCACAACCCGTCCACCCCAGGTAAGAGCAGAAACACCAACATTTCTCCAGTCATTGACTACACCCGAGACAGGAGAATTTCTAGAATCTGCGCCAGATAACCAAGTATCATTACTCAAATGATATGCTTCTTCAGAAGGTCCTTTAATTGCCACCCCACTACCTTCTGTCTTGTCAACAACACTGGTGCAAGTACGACCAAAACTTGTCTGAGGGTTAGCAGATTGCTGAAACACGAGGTTCGAACCAAAAACTCCTCTTTGGATATCAGTAACACCTTCTGCGAGTGGAACAAGCACATCATCACTAGCATCCCTTAGGTCATCTTCTAAATCCAAACGACCTAGCTTACGGTCCAAACTCCTAAAGGAGAATTCATCCACCACATTTTTCCCCTTTGACACAGCAGAATCTATAGGAAAGCTTGACCCTCTCTCAAAACACGAATGCTGATTTGGATGTTCAGAGTTGGAAGGAGCACCATTCGCTATGAAGGCGTACAGTGCCAGTTCAAATCTTTTTGACACGGAAATAGACACAGGTTTTATCAGGAAACCTTTAATAAATGAAAATACAGTATGAAACATAATCCAATGCGTCATACCGTTTTTCTTCACTAGGGACCCATAGTTCATCAGATGTCAGCAATGCACATAGAGTCTGTGCAGAGAGTTTTGGGAGCATCTGATCATAAAACGCGCTTTGATAATTAGCAAGTCAGTGAAACTCAAATACTTAATTCAAACTAAAATATAGGTTGAAGACTGCTGACATATAGTATCATGTCCTTTCTAGATAAAATGACCATATATAAAAATGGAAGAAAGTGAAGTCATTTACATCATGTAAAATTTAAGGACAACCGGTTTAGCAGCAAGATTAGGGCAGGACAGGGAATTGCTATGCTCAAAAGAAACAGACCAACACAAACTACATAAAAATAAAAAATCCGATACTAAAGAATATTTGATACCTCTCTAAGTTCCACAGCACCACTTTGACAGAGATAACCCCAACACGCATTCTTTACACGATCTCCATGAATGCCATAGTCTTGGCTCTCTGCAAACACCTAAGTCACAAATGGGAGAAACTCTGTGTATTCAAGAATCGCGGAGAGTGAAAAATATAAAAGACGGAGACTTCTCAAACCTGATAGGCGAGGAAGTTTGAAGTCCTCAGCTCTGAAATAATAAAATCAGTGCATATTGCACACAAATCCTGCAGAAAAAAAAAAAAGCCACGAGTTTTTTAGACCAATTGAAACACCACTACACATGTACAAATCTGTCAGAAAATATATATATATATATATATATTTTTTTTTTTTTTTTAAATCGTTAGAATGAAGAAAACCTGAAGGTCTAGAAAGGAAGCAGCAGCTAAAACGCGGAAGGCATTATCATCATCAAGCTTGGGATGATGGCCATAGAGATAAGCCAAAGCAACAGAGATTGCATCCCCATTAACATTTTTATCATCCACAAGTAAGTTTACAACCGGAGAGCTTGCTTCTTTCCACGGACCTTGAAGCATGGTCCTGTCAAAAAATGTAACATCAAAAACCAAAGCCTATCATCCCCTCTTTCAATTTCACTCGTAAACCGGAAGTTGCAGATATAAACCTGAAGTAGGAGCTGCGAGAAAGAATGAGTCGGTGGAGATGGTAGGTGGACCCCATGGCCTTGACGACGACATCGGAGAAGGAGCCAGAGCCGAAACCTTCGGATTGAATATGATCGCACAAGGAAGCCAGATTACAATCGAGAGCAGCCGATGTACTCTGCTCACTTTCCGCATGTGGAGGCGAAGGATGAGGAGAGGGCGGTGGAGGAACCGTTGTCCTCATTTGATGATGATGCTGGTGGTGGTGAGACACCGACGATCTAGGGTTTCGATACTCTTGCTCCATGATCGAGCGAGAGTCCAAATCAATTGTTGTTTACGGGGATTCAATCAATTTTCAAACGAGGGATGGTGAAGCCATGGAAGAGAAGCTCTGTATCATACACGGTGTGGCCTTTAAGTCCAGAGCGTAAACGACGTCGTTACAAAGATGGGTCCCGACATTAGCAAACCGGAGATATCAATTTCGATTAACCGAATTAAATTCATCGGTTTAAGTTTAGTTCCGTCCGCACTCCGCACTTGACAATGCCACATCTCTTCCAGACACTCTTTACTTTCAAACTCTTTTACTTGTGATTAGAATGCATTCTAGCACGGAATGTGATTTTATATGTGATCCTACATTATATTAACTCTCTGTGTTGTGGTCCTTGTGGATCTTCCGAAACTTCCCTGTCTCTGTAGTGAAGACTTATGTGTTATCTTATCTATAAGACTTTCTTCATCGCAACTTTGTAAGCCACCATCCATGGAATGATTATTCTCTTAATACGTAAGAGAAACGAGTGACAGACGTATACCAATATTATTAGATAATAATACATGAAACATTCTATATAGGCTCATTGATCCATGAAAAATCTCTGTGACCTACCTGATTGTTGTTACTGCGCTCCTCTGTCATCCACATAGATTATTCATCTCTAGTTTCTAAAGTAACATGTCTTTCTATCATTGTTCTTGGATCATAGTATGCAGGGCTCTTTCTACATCTTCAAATGGTTGTCCAGCATACAGCGTTAGCTGTCTCTTCTTCACGACAATCACATTCTTGTCACCAGAACTCACTTCGTTATAAAGATCCTGCAATGAGAAAAATGTTTAGTCCACTTGATCTAATGTTAAATTAACTTCAGAGAGATGGACATTAAAAGAGAAGATTGTTAGTAAGAGAATGAGGTTATTTTACCTTGGTTGATATGGGAACTACATTGGCACTGAAATCATCCAAGTCTTCAAAAACTGTTTCTAGCAGGTAAGAGAAGTTTACTGCATCACTTTGATCCTCAAATGCAATCATGTGCGAAACTTGGCCCTTGTTTCGTTCCATTGATTCGGTCCTCATAGTAAAATATCCCTCAGATACTTCTTGGTCGATATTACTCCGCATAAGAATTCTCTGAAGAGAAGAGAAAACAGTAAGTACTGACTGGCTCACGATGTTATCATACTTGTTGACCCTAATAATATACAACAACATACCAGCACATAGGGAAGCTTAAGCCACCACGTTTTATCCTGTCTCTCCTTGACTCTTTTCCTCGTGTTTCCTTTTCTGACTTGTCCATGTTGGCCACTCCTACCAAATCCAGAACCAGCTTCCGTGGTTGGTTTCCGGCTCACAACGTTTTCAGAACTGCTAGATTTCATAACTTGGTTTGATGGTCGTCTTTGCTCAGACCCCTGAGCAGCACCTAAAATATTAAGATAAGCTGAGGATAGCTCTTTCTCATGGCAAGGTTTCATATTCCCGTATACTAAACCATCTCACTACATGTTCTTTCCAGCTTACCATATGTTTCTTGAGAATTAACACAAATCATCAATGTACTTAAACACAAGTATAGCACTTATTTTAAGACCTACCCGAAATAATCTTGGAATCTGAAGAACCTGCCTCTTTTGGCTCTTCTTCAGCATTTCTCAAACCATCTCGCGAGTCGCTAACATTGCCATTTTGCTCATTACTTCCACCGAAGCCTTTGACGTTACCCTTGGAAGGTTTCTCGGCTTTAAACTTGTACTTCTTCTCAAACATCAAACTCTTCTCATCATTCCTAGTTCCACCTAAAGGCTCTACTCGTAATCCCGCCAACCCTTTTCGCTGCGAATTCAACCGTCTCTCAATGTTAGACAACCTTGCTTCTATCTCCCTCTCAATCTCAACCCCTCCACCAGGATTCAATACTCCATCCTCTTCTTCTTTATCACCACCACTCTTTTCCTCGCTTCTACGTGCTTCCCGTGCCATCATTCTAATCTCTGCAATCTTCTCATTCATCTCAATATCCTCCAACGAAACCACATCGCTATCATTTCCCCCGTTTAGATTCAACGAAAGACTTGAACTTTCCGGCGTTGTTTTCTCCGTAGAGTTTCCCAGAAACAAAACAGCACAAACTGTCTGAAACGCGAACATTCCGACCAAACACAACCCGTACTTGGCTATTAGCTTTGGAGAGATCTTACTTAACACACCATTCATCTCGTTCGACGCAATAACCGAGGTAAGCTCCTCTACATCATCGTCCTTTTTGGTGAATACGTCGTCTCTTGGAGGAACTTTTTGCGGCGCTTCGATATCTTGGGGCTTGGGACCTAGGGTTCTCAGGATTTTGGGTCGCAGGTAGTTTTTCCTTTTTGATGATGACTTCAACGAGAGTGGAATTGAAACTGGAGAAGAGCAGCGGATAACTTTGAACGAGACTCTTTTTCCCGTGGAGTAGGACGGAAGAATAGTTGAAGGATATGTGAAGATGGCGCATCGGAGAGCAGCCATGGCTGCGTCGGAGAGAGGGAGAGAGAGAGGGAGAGAGAGAGAGTCTTTCAAGCTACAACATTTGGTAAATCCTTTGAAAACAAAATTAAATAAATAACAAATAAACCGCAAACCTTTAAGAATATTTCCTAGATAACCCCAAAATTAATCCTTCGGGACAGATTTGATTTTATTTGAATCCGTTGAGCTAAACCGAATGTAGATCTTAATACCAAAATGCCGGTATAGATTTGAAATTTGAATATCAATGTCATAACGATACTCCTAAAGTAGAGAGGTGTTTTGGACATTTAAATATACAGCAGGTTTCGGTTAAATATACAAAAAAAAAATGTTGCATTTTATCAGTAATCAATACAAATAAACACACATCGCTCATCTCCGTCGTCTCATCGCTTCTCCATAGTTCTCCGTCGTCCGAGCAACCCTAACAATGGTATGCGTTTGTTGCTTGATTTCGATCGTGTTTATATGTTTTAGCTCACGAACTCTAGGCTCTTGCTCGTCAGATCTGTCGATTGGAATGTTCGATTAAGTTTCTGTTTCTGTAGACATTTTTAAGGGATGAATTCTAGTGAAATCTGGACGAGTTTGATTGTTTTACAATAGGTTTTTTTCATTTCTTCGATTCGCCTTATTTCATCTATGGATTTGTGTAATTGAGAATAAAAGATCCGATGGATGATCCAGCCGATTCCAAATGCATGTAATACATTAACGTAGAGAGTGCTATATATATATATATTTTACACTTGTTTTTTTCTTTATTTGATGGTGACAGGATGGACATGATTCTGAGGATACTAAGCAGACCACTGCTGATATGACTGCTTTTGTGAGTAGATTTGTTCCCATCTTTCTTTCTTTTTTTTTTGGAATAATACCACTTGCTTTTGTTACTGAATTCTAGAATTTTTGTCATATGCAGGTCCAAAATCTCCTGCAGCAGATGGTGGGCTTTTAATTCTCACTTCTTTAGGTCTTGGAATCACAGTTTCAATAGGTAGATTCTGATTAAAGTTTGGTTTCATTGTTGTGTGTTTCAGCAAAGCAGGTTCCAGGCAATGTCGGATTCCATCATCACAAAGAATATCCTTTTTATCATTCATCTATTGTGTTTTGCTTTAATGTTTCCTCCTTTAAAATAATTTGAAAATGTTTCCCTCCCTCCTAGAGGTTGTAGGAAATGATTATCTCTAGTATTAGTTCATTTCTACCATTAAATCGACGGAATTATCTACTGCCAGATTAGATTAAAGTATTTCTTGAGATTCTAAATGTCTATTCAGTAGATAACACCACATGGTTCTATGTTAAGCGCTCTCTTGTTAAGTTGCTCTATTATGCATACTTGTTGGCACCGAATCACCTTTACTTCCATGATCAATGTGATGTAAGTTTGTAATATGTAGGAACTCAAATCACTGAATCTTTTATCAGCAATTTGTGTTCATGTAAATTAGTTTAAACCGTAATTTCCTTGACTTTGACGATTTCACTCGATGACATGGGAGGCAGATTCAATGAGCTGGAGCAAAGCATCAACGATCTAAGAGCCGAGATGGGAGTTGAAGGCACTCCACCTCCTGCCTCCAAATCAGGCAATGAACCCAAAACACCGGCTAGTTAAGTTTCACTTGGTCATTATCTTTCTATTTGTGCTTACATCACTGTGAAATTCATCAAGCGTAGTACTGTTCCTTTTAAAAATACTGCGTTTGTCAAAAGACATAAATATCTTGTTGAGTTCATTAAAATAGAGTTGTTGATGTGGTGGTACATTGCATTATTCTGCACTTATGATTTGCTTTCGATGTTGGTTTTTAAATAACCGAAAAGTCTAATACATGGTAAACCAAATGCTATACTCCGTTTGGTTCCAATTTTAATTTTCTTCCTTCTGAATTCTCTTACAAAGCACACAATATCGGTACCATAATTATACCGAATGGTAACCATTAAGACTTGTACAAATATATTAAAACATTATGCTGCATTCGATTCGAGTGGACTAGTCTGAAAGACGAATTAGGATTCAATTGTTTGAATACTATACAAGTGAACAAATACAGAAATAGTTCACTAAATAAATTATGTCAAAATTGTAAATTGCATTTGAGAAAATATACAAATGCAAATGTAACTTTGGTGACGCTATCAATCTATCAGTATCGAATATTGATTTATCAAAAGCAACATGTGCTGAGTTGGTGTATGCCTGTCATGAGGTAAGAGTATGCAGCCCAAACTTCAAACCCATTTTTCAAAAACTTTGGTCATATTACTCTTTCAATGTTGATGTAAACGGGGAAACGATTGAGAGCCCGAGGAGCATCAAAAGATTAATCATGCATTTAATTATAAGCGTCTTTAATTTGTTGTATTTTTGTATTATTGTTGTGTTCATATTGAATGCTGTTTTTTCTTCTTTTTTTCTTCAAAACCTTGACTTTTGAAGTATAACTATGGGTACCATATAATTATTACTAACAATTTATTCTTCTCTTTGAAAAAAATATCCTCCAAAACAATTGAAAAAGAACTATAATCACAATTTTTAGACAAAGAAATCATTTAAATAAATTAATGTTTGTTCTAAAAGGTGGTGAATTCACATTATAAATGAAAGAAGAATACACCAGGAAAAAATGCGTAACAAATATGCCAACGTGTGGGGTTCTGCCGAAAGTGTGTTGCGTTGCATGTGAAGCTGCCCCTTTAGTTGGCCCAACCAATCCTAATTATTGCATCTATTTCCTCCCTCCACAATTATTCAATTTTCAAACATAAAAATTAAAACAATATATTCCTGTAAATCAAATTTGATTTCTTCCCATCATAGCTTTTCTCCATATGAACTACAATTTTAATATCACTTATATTCCCATATGATGAACATCTGTTTTTCTTCAGCACATGCAGTAACAAACACATGCATAATATTAAACTACATATTTAATGTTCATAATTTTGATAATCTACTCAGAATTATGGACATCTGCACATATAGTTCACTAGTGCCGGCCCGCCCTACGGGCGGGATATGATTTCTGTATGATGTATAGGTCTATATTATCGTATATTTTCTTTGCGTAATTTATGTCAGGATTTGAAAAAAAAAATGTATAATAATATTTATAGATGTTAAGCTATTTGGGCATGGAGAAAATATGTTTTACTCGTATTGGTAGTGTGTTCGATTTGATTTGGAACTAATATGTGTAATGTTGTTTGCTTGACAAAATGATATGTGCGAAGAAATGATTACCGGAGGTCAACTGCATGAAAAATTTGTTGTGGTGTTAGTGATGTTGTATGCTTTCATTTTGTGGTTGTTTAATTGTTTTTTTTAAATAAGTTAATTGAATCTAATCTGAAAAATTGAATATTATATAATACTGGTGTAATTTTTTTTATGTGAGTACAGTTTCAATTAGAAAAAATGGTCAGTTAATATTGTATAATAACAACTCTTTAAGCTTTCATTTTGTGGTTATTTAATTGTTTTGTTAAAATAATTTAGTTTATGGCTAACTGTTAATATTTTCATAGAACTAATAAATGAAATACTTTTTTACAGTGGCATTAAAATACATTAGTATAATAAATATATATTTTAATAATCGCATAAAATATATTAACCTTTTTATATATAAATGTTTTGTAATAATTAGATATTATGTTTTTCATTGTGGAAAAATATACATATATGAATATTTAATAGTAATATCTCATTTTTAACTTATAATTATATTTTCAAGCTGAAAAGTGAATTTATTTTGTTACCTTGAATCTCTAATGAATCATAAACCAGAAGATTATATTTAATAGATCATAAACTAAAGGATTACTTTGAATATAAGCTATTACATGTGTGTCTATGCAGTTTTAATATTATAATATGATTGACAATCAAGTATTCTAAATTATGTATATATATTTATATACTTAAAAAAGCTATGTCTATAACATTAACGTTGGTATTAGCACTAACTAATTAGTGCCATGTTCCTAATAAATACAATAGCTTTCCACATTATGGTTTGTAAAGACTCATGTTAATCAGCAACTGCGCGTATGAACTTTTCTGAAATCTAACTCGATTGTTAACAATAATGATAAGTTACATTTTCATGAGTTTCTAGAACATGGTTCAATGAATAGTTACAACTGTATTTGAAGCTTGTCCATAAGTATACGCTGATCTTGTGAACGTGTCAGATGTAATAAGAGCTTGTGACATAGATGAACTAACAGTTCAATAGTGCTATGTTAAGTTACAACTGTATTTGAAGCTTGTCCATAAGTATACGCTGATCTTGTGAACGTGTCAGATGTAATAAGAGCTTGTGACATAGATGAACTAACAGTTCAATAGTGCTATGTTAGTGTCTTGACACTTGCACAAAGTGAAGACATGTAATGTAGGTAGTTGCAAACGAAATGTATGGCTAAGTGTTTTTTAAGTAAACAACGTTACTAACCAAACCTCAGTCTGAACAATACTCAGCAATTTGAGTAATGCGCTGCAATTTGGTTATGTTTTTAACCAAGTCTTCATTCGCCATTGAGAACTCAATCTGATTAATGCTCAACAACTTGGTTTCTTTTAGCTCCTCGGCTTCCCATCCTTCTAGCTCTTCAGCTTTTGAGTAATGGTCAACAACTTGGTTTCTTTATCAACCGCTGAGACTGCTGTTTCTGTCACACGTTTTTTAACTAATCTTCTTTGTCCATCAAGCTCTCTTTAAGTTTCATGATTTCACCTTTTGATTCTCCAAGTGTTTGCTGTGATACTTCGTGCTTCCTAAGGATTCTTATTCAAATTGGCTTCTTCCACTTTCCTTGCAATTCGTCTGCTTTGCTTTGTTTGAGTAAATTCATCACCTTGTTTACATCTTAATGCAAAGCCGAAGTTGCTTCTTCCTGGTTGATACGTAGATCACTTTTTACATTATTTATTTCATTTCTTGTTTCATCAATCATTTTTTTTTTTTCATTTCTCTATTTGAAACCATCTTCAAACTTTCAACATGGGCTTCACGGCACTCCAACTACATTTGACATGAGGAGCTCCTCATATACTTCCCTTGCTCCAGTAGATGTTTTATGCAAGGACATCGTCAGGCTCTTCACATTCGTCAAGATCTTTTCTTTGCGCTTCAGTTGTCTCTCTAAATCCTCATCTTTTTTTGCAGCATGATCTGACCTCGTCTCTTGCAGCACCTGGTTACATTCAGCTATGAGCCACCTGCTTTATAACAGAGTCCATAGATACATAAGAAGTTAACTTCCATCTCATTGATTCTTCAATTCGAAATTCGCAGAATCTAATATAAAAGCCCACCAAGAAACCAAACAAAAACTTAATGAAAGGGCAAGAACCCCATGAAAAAACCAAGGAAAACAAAAGTGGTGAATGTGGTAAAATCATAGAAACCAAATTATATATTTACAAAATGCATAGCTAAAGAATTACAAAATTATCTTATCATTATTTTGTGTGATCTTTTGTGAGGAATCAGAAAAATATTGTACACTAAAAATATATAAATTTATATATGTAGATAGACATAGATATAATCTTAGTTCGATAATGACTAAATTGAGTTGTATACGAAAAGATGAAAAACGAAGTAGTACCCAAAGATCTGAACTGCAAGCCTTCCCTTTGCTTCGTTTTCCTCCTCTTCATATGGAAGAAAGTGGCAGTATTTCCACGTATAGTTTTTCCGAAGAAATAGCCGGAGAAACAGTAACCAGAACTTACTCATCGCTCTTCTTTATCCACCTCGTTTCTTGTTCTGCCATTTTATTAATCATAAAAGATATAATTACTTAACATCTGAATTTAGCTAGTTTAAACTACAGTTGACCTATTTGCTGAAAGTAAGTAATAAGGTTTTAGTTTTAAGAGGGAAGAGGCGTATGATTATCCAGAGTTCCACACGCAACTGCTTACATATTCTTTAATCTTTGCGTAAGTATAAGCTCAGCTGCTCTAGTCAGTCAGTAAATAGAAACTGACTGTCATAGGCCATGAACCATATCCGGCCAAATTAAATAGTAAAAGCTCATTATATCAAATTGAATAACAAAGTCATAGAAGCGTTACCTTCGGGTTTGACGTCTCGGTTATGTCATCACTCGCGATGCCGTTGCGTTTAAAATCTCCGGCGAAAATTTCAGTCCTCAGCTGACGAATTAAATTCACAGATTTGCTATTGGATCGATATTATGTGATCATCAACGCCTTGTACTCCCGTGAAAGTAGACCAGTCTCTTTAACAATATCCATCACATATTTTCTCTGACTCAACACAAAACCTTCTCTGTTTCTAGCAATCTCGATGCCTAGAAAATACTTGAGCTTCCCTAAATCCTTCATATGAAAACACTCTCCAAGATATTTCTTAAACTTTTGAATTGCTTCACCATCATTACCACAGATGATCAAATCGTCAACATAAATCAACACTCGTATTTCAACATTCCCACGTGAGTAGACAAATAACGAATAGTCCGAGTACGACTGGAAGAAACCAGCTCGAATGAGAGCCTTAGTAAGCTTCTCGAACCAACACCGAGGAGCTTGTTTTAAGCCATAAAGTGACTTATGTAATCTCAATACCTTATTCGGTTCAGAATGTGTAAAGCCTTGCGGAAGCTGAATGTAAACTTCTTCATGCAAATCCCCATGAAGAAAAGCATTGTGCACGTCCATTTGATGCACTTCCCAATTGTTGACTGCAACTATTTTCAACAAACTCCGAACCGTCGTCATTTTTGCAACAGGAGCAAACGTCTCATCATAATCTGATCCTGCTTTCTGTCTATTCCCAAGTACCACCAGTCTTGCCTTAAAGCGTTCCACTGTTCCATCGGCGTTGTACTTTATTTTGAAGACCCACATTGTTCCTAATGCAACACGCCCACGCGGCAAGTCTACTACACTCCAAGTCTTCGAAACCTCAAGTGCATCTACCTCTTTGTAGACAGCCTTTGTCCATCTCTTGTCCTTCATTGCTTCTTTAAAGTTCTTTGGCTCACACTCGGCGCATACAGCAGCAACAAACGCTTTGTGGCCAATAGAAAAAGATTTATCAGAAATAAATTCAGTGAGAGGATAGAATGGATTACCTGTGACCGGGTCGAAATAGACACTGGTGGAGGGATCAAAATGATCAGAGATGAGAGCGTGAGGAGGAGTACTATTTGTGCAAGCTGCATTATAGGTGACATAGTCGTTAAGGCGAACTGAAGGTGTCTTCACACGTTGTCCTCTTCCCAAAACCTCCTCTGTTTCAGCTACTGCTTCTGTTGCTATATCTGCCGAAGTTTCAGTCTCTTTGTCTATTACTTCTGTCGATGATTTTATGGCAGGACCAACTTCAATAATTGCAGGGTCTTGAGTAACCAGCTCATCACTCAGAACTGAACTTTCTGTCTGAGTTGCACTACTCGTACCGTTCTCACTCCCCCTGACTTCAACAATCGTATCACTACTTCTCCCCCTGGCTTCAGTACCCTCAGCTTCTTTGTTTAAACACACACTGTCAAAGTTCTCAGGCAGGATTGGTGGTGATAATACTTCAGTGTCTTCTCTGGAGAATGGAAAACTTTCTTCGCGAAATACTACATCACGTGATACGAAAAACTCCTTCTTCTCTAAATCATATAGCTGTCATCCTTTCTTTCCAAACGGATACCCGACGAACACACATTTTCTACTTCGAGGTCCAAACTTATTCTTATCTCGCAGTTGCTTATGAGAAAAGCATAACGAACCAAACACCCGTAGATCAGAGTAAGATGGAGACGAGTCAAATAGTAACTCATGTGAACACTTTCCATTGAGAACTTTTGTCGGTGTTAGGTTTATGACGTGAGCAGCTGCTAGAACAGCTTCCCCCCAAAACTTGATCGGCATACTTGCCTGAAACAGTAGTGACCGTGCAACGTTCAAGAGATGACGGTGTTTCCTTTCAACTCTACCGTTCTGCTGTGGTGTTCCCACGCAAGAAGTTTGATGAATGATTCCTTTGCTTTTAAAATAAGACGTCAAGCACATGAATTTGGTGCCGTTATCGCTTCTTACTGTTTTTACCGTCTTCCCAAACTGTGTATCAGCATAGGAACAGAAATTCTCGACTACCTTCTTTACTTGCGACTTCTCAAGTAATAAAAACGTCTAGACAGTACGTGAGAAATCGTCTACAATAGTACAGAAATATGAAGAACCATTTGAGGATTTGATCCGATACGGCCCCCACACATCGATGTGAATTAACTCAAAACACTCGCTAGTTTTATTAGAACTTTCAGAGAAACTATCTCTTGTTTGCTTAGCCTTGAAACAGACCTCACAAGAATGTAAAACTTCAGAAACACTAACACCAGAAAACAATGGTAATGAAGATAAAACTGAAACACCAGGATGTCCCAACCGACGATGCCACAACACTGAATCTTCCATCTTCACAGTCTTGTTAACTCGCGCAGCTCTGACATCCGTAAAATAGTACACCCCATCACGCTCCTCACCTGCTCCAATCAGCGTCTTCGAACACCGGTCCTGTAATACGCATAATGTATCAGTGAAGAACGCAAAACAATTGGAATGTCTCAGAAGCTTAGATACTGATACTAAAGAGCAATTCAAATCAGGAACATATAACACATCATAGAGTGATATACGATCAGTAAGTGGTAACACCCCCACTTTCTTTGACACCGTGATACTACCATCAGCAAAACCTATATTGCAAGGAGGTGTGTCTTTAAGATCAACAAGAAGATTAATATCTCCTGTCATATGGTGTGATGCCCCAGTATCGAGAATCACTTCACCCATATTCTTACCAGAGAGCTTATCAGAAGAGCTTGACACTTTGCAGTTAATAATTTAGAAGATCGCTCTCCACTGTTCTTGAGTCAACTCTGGCGTTGTGACTGTTGCATTTGCATTAGTAGCATACGCCATGTTAGCTTGACCTCTCCCTCGAGATGAACTGCTGCGACCTCCTCCTCTTGAACCCCCACGAGTTCCTCTTCCTCCTCTCTCTGTGAACCACTCTGGGTAACCGATAAGCTGCCAACACGCTGACTTCTCATGCCCGGTTCTCCCACAATTCGAGCAGGTACGATCTCTGCCTTTGTTTTGCGACATAAACTCATCAGATACACTTCCACATCCCGAGCTTGTGTCATTATTGCTTCCTTCACGTCTGGTTGCAAAGCCTACAGCCTCCTGCTGTTGTTCTCGTAACTTGGCAGAGTTTAAACGATCCTCCTCACGAACAACTTTATTATAGACCTTGCCAAGATCCGGAAGAACATCCGCTTCTATGATTGCTGTAACGACATGTCCAAACCTGGACTCATCTAGTCCCATTACAAATTGATGAACTCTTTCATCTTCTCTCTCCTTTTCATACAAAGCTGCTGCCTCACACGTACAGATCGGAGATGGTCGGTAAGTCTGCAACTCTTCCCACATTTTTGCTAACCGTCCGTAATAATCAATCACCGCTTGACCATCTTGCCTACACGAGGCTATCTTTGACATAAGCTGGTGCACTCGTACCTTGTTTCCCACGGAGAATCTCTCCTTAAGATTCTCCCATAACTTTTGAGCATCGGTTATAAAAGTCACCGTTGATCTAACCCGTGGCTCGATGGACGTCCTCAACCATCCCACAATCATCGAGTTGACACTGAGCCATGATTCTAGATCGGCATGTCCCTCAGGGGGTTTCCTGAGAGACCCATCAATAAACCCGATTTTCCTCTTTGCTTGAAGAGCGTTGCTCATCTCTGTTGCCTACTCATTATAATTTTCTCCTTTCAACTGAACTGAAGTGATTAAGGCTCCAGGGTTATCTGAAGAAAATATCGAATAAGGTGAAGTACCACCTTTCTCTCCGGTCACGCCGACTGCAAGCGATTTCTCATCTCCCATCTCTTTGTTTGAAGATTAAAAATAAGAAACAAGAATCATAAAAATAAGCAAATAGAACGTTTAGAATGGATCTATTGCTCTGATACCATGTTAAAACTGAACAAGTACTGAAAGTTTTCTGTGTATAGATCAACGAGTCTCAAGCTCGACATATATACTACTTTACAAGCTTATCTATAACTACCGACTTAATATAGAGTTTATCTACAAGATATTACATAATTATCTCTAACCAACTCATAACTAACTCGTATTTATCCCAACAAAAACCTTAGGAAGCTAATATGACGAACCTCTCGAGATCCATCGCACTGGTCTAATCCCACGATTCAGCGGAATCTAAATTCTTCTTGGCGATTATCACTTAATCCTCTCATTCTATTTACTTTAGCCCTCTAAAATCCCATAGATCAAGACTCCTCTTTTATAGATAGATAACACCGACTGGAAAAGAGGAGAGATACATTGAATGAGAAATCATGATATAGGTAGGAGTTAAGAAGGTCATTAGTGAGACCGACTGCGTGAATCAAATAACGGTTACGGATTCTCCTTCCATAGAAAGGAATCCAGAGGAACATGCAGATCGGTTTAT